GGAATGTGCAGGAGGCAGCCGATCGATGTTTCTCTCTCATCGATGTTTCTAGCTCTCTGTCTCTCTCCCTTCCTCTCTGTAGAAAATCAATAAAATATATTTTAAAAAAAAACATATATTGTAAATAATATGAGAAAAATTCAGGCTCAAATAAGGTGATCAGAGAGACAACGGACCTTAAAATAGTAATAAAGCTACAAAATAAATTGTAGAACAGTAGCCCCATATTTCACCCCACGGCCTGGGAGCAGTCGCAGGCACGCGTCCGGGGACTGACCTGGGCCTTCAGTCCCCTGCAGTGGCTCCCAGGGTCTCCCCTGTCGCCTCGGTGCCGTCACACACCGGCAGGGCCGACGGAGACGCCTCCTCAGGAAACTAATCTAATTGGTAAACACTGGGCAGGTTCGATCACTGCTGACGCGGAGGGTCTGATCTCACGCCCGCGACGCCTGGCCAGGCCTCGGCATCAGCCCGTCGCATGCACCGCGGCCGCCGCAGGCGGGCGATGCGATGCTGTTAAATATTGCGCAGTAACGTGCGTTTGGCACCGTTTGGCGTTACAGAGATTTTCTTTCAAGCAATTAGCTCACTGGAATAAGACTGAATTCGGTGATTTTCTTTTCCTAATTTACTTAAAATATACACTTGACATTTTAACTAAACTGTCGCTTGAAAGAGAGTTGACATTTTGGAATCACGAGCCTGTGGGTGATGGAATCTGAGCGTAAGGAGCCTGGCAGTGTGGCCCAGTGGAGCCGAGGGCTCCAGGCTGTTGTCTGCTGAGCGCTGGGTCTCTGATGCTTTCCTTCAGCAGCCTCACCCCTAACATCCAGGAGGCTGCCCGGGGGGGAGGGGGGACCTGAAGGTCTGGGAGGAGCGTGCACAGTTTGTGGGGGTTCCCCAGGGCAGTGCACAGCCTGTGGGGGTTCCCCAGGGCAGTGCATCGCAGTCATTTGTTGTGAGGCAGATGCAGAGTAAACGTGCTCAATTCCAGAGCTCGTGTTTCTGCCGGATGATGGGGTCTGAGGATGTGGGGGTGCCACAGGCCCCTCTGCTCCCCTGAGAATCACTCACCTCTCGGGCCTGCCCCACACACACACTGGGCTGAGAGGGGACCCCACCTCCCCCACACACTGCCTGTGAGAGGGGCCTGCCCACAGGCACACACACTGGGCTGCGAGGGGACCACTTCCTCCAACTGGACGCACAGAAGATGGGGTTCCAGAGGACAGAGGGGCGCCTCTAGAAAGGGGCAGATGGAGAGGCGTGTGGGTCGGAGCAGCCGTGGCCTTCTCACTGAGGAGATGGAGTTCTGTCCCTGCTCTCCAACCCATGACCTTCTAACCCTTGTCTTCCTCCTCTGTCCAGGAGTCAATAGGGCTTCGGTGCCGCCCTGAGGGGTTGGATGGGATGCAATGGGGTGTTTTCCCCAGTGAGTTATGGCGGGGAGGGCAGGAGGCTGGGCCCCCGTAAGCCGACCCCCTCCAGCCCAGCGCAAAGGCCAGCTTGGGTTTTCAGGGGAAATTATGGCAGAAAATATCTGGTAGAGAGATACATGAGCATCTGTGGCTTGGTTTCTATTCCAGTCACTCGGTGGTTTGAATGCACCCCCTCATCCTCTGAACTGCTCGCTTCCGAGTCCCAGAGTGAGAAGAGGCAGTCGGGTGCCCCCAGAGGCGGTGGGGGGGGGGAGGAGAGAAACGGGGAGCGGACACTGTCCTTTCTTCTTCTTGTTTCCCATAACCCCATGTGGCAGCACCCTGGTAGGTATGGCCGAGAGGGACCGGCCTGCAGAGGGAGAGGCAGGGCCCAGGGAGGGGCAGGTGCTGGAAGCAGAAGGAGCAGCTCTGCACATTCCCAGGCGGCTCTGGGGAAGCTGTTTCCTTTCAGCCGACACTCAGAGAGAAGCAACAGCTCCCTGGTCTGCTGGGTCTGCAAACCAACCAACCAAACCGGTTGTTCAGAGACAGTGAGATGACACTCACAGGTGTCCCCAGGGCTCAGGGAAGAGCATGAGGGAGGAAATAAACAGCCTCCAGCGGAGCACCAGCAGGGAGCCGGGGAGGGAGGCCCGCCAGCCATTTTTACGAGATTCCTCGTTTTTATAAGATGGAGTGACGGCTATAAACATTCGACCCACAAACCCAGCTCCCCGAGGTCCTCTAGGATCCAGGAGAGAGGATGAGATCAACGCATCGGCCACCCCCAGTTCCCATCCAACGAGGGGTGGTCTGTTCCTCTGCCAATAACATTCCGCCGGTCGTCCATAGACACCGTGTATCTCTACTTAGCAACTGACTGGTTTCTTCCTTCAGCATTCATCATGTTTAAAAATATATTTTTATTAATTTCAGAGAGGAAGGGAGAGGGAGAGAGAGAAAAAACATCGGTGATGTGAGAAAAAATTGATTGGCTGCCTCCTGCATGGCCCCTCCTGGGGATGGAGCCCGCAACCCGGGCCTGTGCCCTGACCGGGAATGGAACCGTGGCTTCTTAGTTCCTAGATTGATGCCCGCCACTGGGACGCACTGGCCAGGCCTTCATCATTTTTAGGATATAGTTCTGTCCGTGATTTGTAACACCTAAGCCTTTTATTTTATTTGTTCATGGTTATAAAGGCCATCCTAGCTTCCGTCCCGTGTCCAGGAGCTCAGCGCTGTCAGATAGAAACACGGCTGTTTTCTATTGTCTTGTGTTTCCTGCGTTGGCTTATTCCCCATGTGAGCTCTGGGAGGATCCTCATGGCTCTGTGACAGAGTGTGTGTAGGTGATGGTACCACCTGCTAGTAGGGCAGTTTGGTCGCACCCTTTCGGGTCTGTATACGCTTGTCACTGCTCAGCCTGCTGCACAGCCTTGGACAAACACGGTGCGGCCGCCCGGCCTTAGGCGTCAGTCCCAGGGCTGAGCATGCGGAATGTCACCACAGTGTCATGTCCGCAGCAGGTTCCCTGTAGAACTCACTGTCAGTGGGGCAGTCGTCGTCCATGCTGATCACTGGAAGGCATTTTTGTGATCGGATATTCTCCTGTGTCGATTACGACAGTCTTCCGAGTTAGCATGGCCACCACACCGGCTGATGTTCAAGTATTGGATCATCTTTGCGTCCCTGGAATAAACGCCACCTGGTCCTGGTGACGAACTCTTGCTATGCTAGCCCATGGCTTGTGTCTGCTTCCTTCTATTTTGCTCAGGGTGTTATGCAGATGTATTTATTAGGTAGATCCGTTTATGGGTTTTCTTTGCCACTGTTGGCCTTTAAACAGCAGGGCTGTACTTCTCACAGTTCTGGGCACTGGAAGTTCAGCACCCAGGGGCCAGCTGACTCGGGGCTGGGGGAGGGCCACTTCCTGTCTCACAGGTGGCATCTGTGTGCAGTCTCCCATCACGAGGACGCGGGGACACCACCCTTTTGACCTGACCACCTCCCAGCGCCCCCACAGTGGGGGGTTCATCATATGAATTTTGGGGGACCGGGAACCTTCCGTCTATGGCAGTAGAATTCTCCTATGAAACCCCGTGCGCCTGCAGCTTTCTGTTGGGGAGTTTAATGGTTACGTAGGAGATATGTTGTGTTGTGTGTTTTTAAAGCAAGCGGCCCCTTTTGTTTAAGTTGACAAATGTATGTGGGTAGTTTTTGTAGCAGATCCATGTTGTTGTTTTTTTTGTGTCTTTGGTGTTTCTAGTAATATTTGCTATTTTATTCCTGAAATCAGATATTTGTATCTTCTCCCACCCCCTCCTTCTTTTGTCAGTCTTGCAAAATGTTTGTTGATTTTGTCAATATTTTCAAAGAATTGTCGGTTTTTAAAATTGCTTTTCTCTATTGCTTCTCTGCTTTCAATTTTGATTGATTTCTGCATTTGTCTTTTCTCTCTTGCCTTCTGTTTGCTTAAGGTTGATTTTATTCTTCTCTAAGTTCTCGAGATGGGAGCTTGGATTATGAATGTGAAATTTTCCTCTTGTCTGATGCATTTTTCGTGCTATTAATTCTTCTCTCAGCCCTGCCTCACTGAGCCCACGCGTTGAGGTCTTGCATTTGTTTCCCTCGAGACTTGTTCTCTGAGGCCTGGGTCACTTGGACGGGTGCTGGCTAGTGACGACGAGTGTCCTTTCATGATTCTCTTCCACCCGTTCCTGTTCGAGGCTGCAGCCCACAGAGACTGCAGTCAGGGTCAGTGCCGTAGACGGCACGGCAGTGGGACTTCTCCTGTGGGGCGGGGCTCAGGCTGACTTCTAGCATCGGAGGTTCCGGTTCCGACCAAATGAACCCCCAGGTCTGTACACAAGCCGCTTGATTGGCGAATGTTGGGGAAAATACAAAGTGGTGAAGCATCTCTTCGACCTTTTCTAAGGCTGTTAACTCGTGGAGGATGATGATGTCATGATACCTGCTCACGCATTCTGAGCGCTGACTTCACCTTCAGGAACGTTTGCAAATAGATCCAACCCAGTGACACGTGAAAGACGGGTCTTAGAATTCAAAAGGTGCATCATGACATCCAACATTAACATCGATCTCTTTGTTAAGGTCGTGATGACTGGTTATGACTGCCTGACGTGCATGTTCCCTTTTCAAGAGACACTGTGATTGCTTTCAGGGAGGCAGGAAGAATAAGCACACGACCTGTCAGATGAGACAACCCCACCCCCTAATCTAGGAGGAAGGCAGTACACTCAGAAGCAGGCGCAGTGGCCTCTGGTTTCACGGAGCTCCTGTGAGGAGCCCACAGCGTCTTCATTCCAAGTGTTTTCTTTATGTCACTGGGTCAGTGGATGCCTCCTTCAAAAAAGACCATTCCCAAATGTGGTTTAAGTGGACAAACTCTGGTGGCCAGAGCTGCTCAATTACCTAGCAACGCCTTGTGCATGGGTCATGTGATTGCCCAACAGTGTATCTCAAACGAATATGCCACCGTGAAAAGAGGAATTGGATGTGTTCGTTAATCAGCGTCAGTGACACATTCCCGCCTGGTAACCGCATCCCTGTGTTTCTCTGAATTGCAGGCTGTCGGGGTTCCAGCTGCCCTCCGCCATCGTGAGTTCCGGCTCCATCCTCACGCTGTGGTTCACCACCGACTTCGCCGTGAGCGCCCAGGGGTTCCGAGCCCTGTATGAAGGTAGGACACCCCGTGCGTGCACGGTGCCCCCGACGGCTGGGCAGATGGCTCACACCTGTCGCTCTAGGTTGCAGGTTTTAGTGTGAATGTGAGTCTCGGGTTCCAGTGGCTGAAATGTTTGAATCTGGAGCAATGCATTGAGGATTGGAGACTACTCTTTGTTATAATTGCCAACAATTTTTTAGGAAAAGGTGTGTTTACAATTCTCCTTTATCGATAGAACTCTTTTTTATTGGAAAAGCGTTTTTTCTTGTGACATAGAGTTTGGAGAAGTTTGCGTTCTAATGGGCAGCACCCCTTTACGGTGGAGAATTTATTCTTAATACAGATGAGTCCTCTTAAAAAGGCTGTTGCATAAGAATGCTGACAGTGCTTACACAAAGGGAGTTCTTTTAGATGAGTATTTGTTTTCAAAGTTGAAACTGTTCATGGAGACGGTGATTTTGACTTTAGTGTTTGGTCATTGGCAGGCCTCGGGGCTTGGTTTTGTGTGTGTTCGGACTCGTGTCTTGGTACCTTTGGGCGCGTGAAATCGGTTTGGAAGACTCCTGAGCAAACATGTTGAAAAGAGCACAGAGAGGTTGAGCTCTGAGGGAAATGCTGCAGGTGGGCACAGCGCACTCAGCTGAGGAACCGGACTAGTGACCCTTTCCTTTGTGCGTAAACGCCAACGTGGGCCCGTCTTAGTTGGTTTCACAGAGAAGTCGTACGATCTCTTCCGTGTGTCACACGAAGGCTGTTATGTTTAACAAACTCCCGTGAGTTGATGAAAGACTGTGGATGGGGTGGAGGCCAATCCCTGGCGGCAACACACACCTTTGACCTCGGATGTCCTCTGGGCTCAGTCACACCTTCATGTTCCTGTTGGGGGAACTGGCTGCGCTTGGGCAAAAGGCATTCTTCCTGGGAAACAAAATTGACGTGCGCTTTCTGCCACGGAACTCAGCTGCCACGCAATTACCAGAGAACATACGGCCGACTGCCCTCTCTGCGCGTGTTTAAACAAGCCAATGTACCCTTTCCCTTAAAGTTTTACATGGAATAGTCCTTAGGATGGTCCAGGGTTCTGACTTCCATGTCTTCCAGCCTCGGCGTTTATGCCTCCACCGGCGTCCGTGGCTGAAGGGTGGATAATCTTTAAGTAGATCGTGGACCGTCAGGGATGCTGACTTGTTCAGAGAGGAACAGGCCGTGTAGGATGGACAGGTGCTATGCTCCTTCGAGTTTATTGTGTCTACCATGTGCGAGGCAGCCTAAGGTCACACGATTTCTTTTTTATAAAAGAGGTGTTTCTGAGGCCGCCTGTGGTTACCTACAGAACCTGGCTGGTCCGACCGTCGTGTGCTACTTGCTGAGAAGGTGATGCAGCGCCCGCATGTGGGAAACCCGGGCGGCTCCCCTCCCTCCCTGACAAAGCGGGGCCTGGACAGTGTGCTGTGCTGGTTTCCTGATAGACACGCTGTGGGGACGCTGGGGACGGGTGATGGCCAGGTGCACAGGCCCGTGAGCTTCCTGAGCTGTTGTTGCTGGAATTATTGGCTGTCCTGGAGGCTTAACGTGAAGCCGTTGGGGGGATTGTCTCTGCTGGAAGAATCTTTATGAGTTTCTTAAAAAAAAATTCTAGAAAAGTGACTTGAAAAGGGAACAGGACCGTAAGTTAAAGGCAGTGTTTTTAAAGAGTTGATATTTGGAAATGCTATTATCATAAAGTTTACATTTCAATAGGGACATTAAAAGAACATAGTCTCTTTACCAGTGGCTGCAAACCTTTGTTTTGAAAGGAAAAAGCTAATCAGAAAGTGCTTTGTCAGCAGAATCAAAATTGTAGAGAGAATGAATATCAGTATTTTAAACATGTTGCTCAATTAGCTTAAAGGTCTCCCGAGAAAATGAGTGTGTACTGTCTGGAGAAAAACCGTAATGATCGTCTGAACAGAAGAATAAAGAGCAGAGAATTTATCTAAAAGGAGCAAAGCTCCCAGTGCAAGCACCAGCTGAGGGATATGTAAATCTGCTCCCACAGTGAATTTAAATACAATACCAAGGCAATGTCACCATAAAAAGTGAGATGTTATTATGGACAGAATGTATAAAATATAGCATTTAAATATAATATAAAGTAGAAACAATGATAATTGGCAGAAAAAAATTGAAAATACTTTTGGAACCAGCACATTGAGTCCTTTGGATGAGTCAGATGTCCTCTTTCCCATTAGGTTGTACTTGGGTGGGACTGCCCGTCACATAATTAATATCCCCCAAATAATACAATAACATGTCGATGTCTTATACAAGACATTCAAAATAAGTTTAATTTATTAAAAAACTAAATCAGCATTTAAAAAACATAATTCACTCGATTCCTTAATCTAGTATTATTTTATTCCAATTAAAAATTAGAATTTATTTAGTATTATCAGATTGATATTTCATTTTTCATTTAAACTTATTTGCTTGAATTGGAGAAAATCTTTCAAACTTAAAATCTGCCTAAGCACTATACCCTTGGTAAGAAACTTAATCTGGGCACAAACTTTTTAGATTTCTGGCAGTACTTTGGAATAGTTAATATTTATGTGAATTATTATTTATACATGGAAATATTAATCTAGATAACAAATATGGAAATAATAAATTGAAATATTCTAATTAATATGTTCAGTCATTGAATTTAACCCTGATAATCAAATGGGAATATTTATAAATTTCACACTAACTTATTAAATAGGGAGCCCTTCAGGGTGTTAGTAAGTTTGTAGATTGTTGGTGAAATCAACAAATTTTAACCCATAAATATGGAATAATGAAATTGAAGTTAAAAACATAACAGGGTGTTTGTAGTAGTCTATATGCTAGTTTCATGGTTAGACATTATTCTTTATGGTAAACCAAAGAATTCACATAATTTTCCTTGGTGAATTTACAGCAATATATATTGGGGATTGCACGTAATTTGCAGTGAAACGGAGCGCTATCGGAATTCTTGTATTTGTCCGATAGTGAAGTGCCGTGTACGTAAGTGGGACTTACTTTTCTATTTCTATTTGTTGCCCTTCCTTCATCAAGGTCTCA